CCACCCCAGCTATGCTCCAAAACACAACCCAGAAGTGGCAATCACTGGACCCATCGTGGTGTCTTGCCAGCGGTTGTTACCTGTCAGCTCTGATCAGAAGAGAGATTCTGTGTGAGCGAGGTCACGCAAGACAAGTCTAAGGTTTATTAACCAAGCATGGTGATAACAGGGCCCACAAGAAATAGCAAATCACAAGTCCATATGGCAATCCAATCAATCGTAACCCCAAGAGGAATAAATGGTCACTGCCCTGAAGTCCATCACCCTGAAGACCTCTGCCCAGCTTCCTCAGCAATGTAAGTTTTCCTAAGAGACATGCAACAAACACCCTGGGCACACTTAGAAGGTTGCAGTCACCTTTCCCTGGCTCCTCTGCCCGCTTTCCACTACTGCTAGGCCTCACCTCTCCTGGAACTCCAGAAAGCACACACACTAGAAATACAAGGCATCTTAGCATTAACATCTTCCCTGACCTGCCCAAGCAGTGAGCATAGGGTGAGGAATACAGACATACAGGGGCCATGCTCGGGGGGAAGCCAGAGAGCAAGCAGGTACTGGGGAGGCCGAGTCAGAGTGCCAGAGTGATGAAAGAGGGAGGCAAATGACCAAGAAAGTGAGTCCCTCCCTATCAAGGGCCTTTGCAGGGGCTTGTGAGGGGAGTGGTTACACAACAATACAATACCACCCCCTCTCAGGTTCCAGGTGGTGATAGGTAAGCACCACAGGTGCGCAGGAGGGAACACCTAGGTGGTGGTGGTGGGGCAGTGACTTCCAAGCCTGTGACCCTGAACTAGCTGCCTAGCTCACTACAATCCATGTATAGTTAGCAAACAGCTCACCTAAGCTACTTTCCCTTCCTGAGGCCTTGGCGCATCCTGTGTGTGTCTGTTTCTTTGAAGTAGACATCCTTGTCTTGAAAACAGCAGCAGCAATTAATTTTGCATGTAAGCTGCCGCTGCTGCACCGTTCACTGCTGATCAGTTCATTTGAAGCCAGGGAAGACTGGGTTGGGGTCATGTACGCAACTTCTGCTTCCAGTCCTGTGGATGTATTTCCTGCCCAGCCCTCCAGTTCCCGCAGCTGTATCCTTTCAATGACTGCTTTATGGTGGCCAAGAGAGTTGAGGTCGGCGGCCAGGGCTCTGGGATCACGAGGAACACACAGACACATTATTCTTCAGCTTGGAAGCTCTCTAATTCTTGTTGGGGTTTGATGGAGAGAGAATGGGTGGCACTGACTGCTAGTGCTGTTCACTCTCGGCTGCTGCCACGACTGCAAGAGAGCAGGATCCATCCGCTCCCAGTGAGGTCCAGTTCCCGACGGGGCGGGGGGAATGACCTTGCGAAATACTGCACCTCCCAGCTTTCCTTAGGACTATGCCTTGCACCCAGTCGGCTTCCAACAAGAGATCTACAGCAAAGACTGCTACAATGCTTGCTGTATAAGAAGGAAACTTGGCCGAACTAGGTTTTCTGTAAAAATTATTTGCCATTAAATTTCTTTTGTACTGTCTCGGTGTTTAAGTAGATAGAGGTAGGGGGACTGCAGAAGGGAGAGATAAAATACTGCAAATGCATCAGGGTTCTTAGCTGCAACAGCCAGAGGAAAACATCTTGCTACTTTTTCTTTCATACTTGTAACAATTTTGCAAAGTGTTTTTGTTCAGAGCTCTAGCAAAGCAAAATACCAGCATCATTATGACTGGCTTGGGTCCATAGTGAATTTCATCCAGATTCTAACCAGCAACTAACAATCTGAGTCACAACATCTCAGATGTTTGTGTATTTCCACACAATTCTCAGGCTTCACATTTATTTATTTATTTACTTGTTTATGTGTATGACCCGGAATCAAATGTCCCTTCTGTATTTCCAAGCTAGTGTCACTAGCTAAGAAAACTTGTGCAGAGTGATTGAATCGCTCATTCAGTAACACATTCCAAATGGCCAAAGCCAAAGAATGACCAAAATGTCAAGAAGTTCGTATGCATTTGCAGGATAAAAGTCACCAACTAGCCTGCTGGTGAATGTACGATATATACTTGGATTTTCACCATAGAAATGACACAAGGCAATTTCAGGTCTTAAAATCCATGGGCCTGGCGCGGTGGGGCAAGTGGTTAAAGGTCCTCGCCTTGCACGCCCGGGATCCCATATGGGCGCCGGTTCTAATCCCGGCAGCCCCGCTTCCCTTCCAGCTCCCTGCCTGTGGCCTGGGAAAGCAGTCGAGGACAGCCCAAAGCTTTGGGAAACTGCACCCACGTGGGAGACCCGGAAGAGGCTCCTGGCTTCGGATCGGCATAGTATCGGCCCGTTGCGCTCACTTGGGGAGTGAACCATCGGACGGAAGATCTTCCTCTCTGTATATCCTCTCTGTATATCCGCCTTTCCAATGAAAAAATAATAAAAATAAATCTTTAAAAAAAAAATCCAGAGAATTTACAACGGAACTATGGTTAAGATGATGACTGAAAAATGCTAGTACACTTACTAGGCACTAACTTTGCAAAGATACACCTCCATTCTTACAGCTCCTGAAAAGACAGACTGGACATTCTGAATAAAACTATCCTTATTCTGGGAAACTCAATTTCTTTGTTGTGGTTGCTGTGTATCTGTTCTCAACCTGATCTTACTATCAGTATTAAAACGGGAGTTCCTTAGGATTGGCCCTGCTGTGCCATGAGTTAAATGGTAGACTGGCGGCCAGGGTGCTCAGCTTCAAATCCAGCTCCCTGCTCATCTGCCTGGGAGAGCATCAGAGGACAATCTAAGGACTTGGGCTCCTGTCACCCACGTGGGAGACCTGAACGAAATCCCTGGCTCCTGGCTTCTATCTGGACCAGCCCCAGTTCCAGCCCTGGCCCTGGCTACTGCAGACAGAAGTGAACCAGCAGATGGAAGCTCTTGCTCTTCTCCTTTCCCATTTTGCTGCAAAAATACATTAAAATATATCTTTTAAAAAGGGGGTGGATGAATCCCTATAATTTTAACGTAGAGCAATTTTACAAACATATGCTCATATATCACAGAAGATCAGATTAATTATAACTGTACAGCAATTTTTGAGAGGATTATTTTGCATACTGTACTAATCATAGCAAATATAGAAGAGCTAAAGTCCTATGAATTGTTAACAACAACAACCTTAGATTAATAATCCAAGCCCATGCTGGGGTGGAATGGGGTGTGGGACAGACTGGATTACTGCTACACATACTGGCAAACCAGGATAGGGGGCGGGCCTGGTGGGGGTTATTGCGGGTCACTCAGACTAGGCTGCAGCTCCCACTGGTTTATGCGAGGGCCAAGTATGTGCTGGGCAGAACCAGGCTGGACTGCAACACCCATTGGTTCCAGTGGAAGTTGGGAGTGAAAACAGAACCAACCCAGCAATTACAACCACCAGCTGATCGGGGCGATGGACTGTGCCGGGCCCTGTACTTTTTAGCACATACAAGAATCTAGTTTGAGAACACCTCAGACAAAGTTTCTTTGGAGATCTCCCCAATCAAAATGCTGGACTCAGAACCCTAACCAAGAAAAGAGAGAAAACAGAACAGGTCAACCAACCATCTCAGCTATATCTTAGCAGCGAAATACAGCGCAAACAGAGACTCTATGATGGACTATGTCAACCAGTGGATTCTTCAAGGACCTCATAGTAATTGGAGTGGCAAGATTGGCAGCGATTTGTAACTGTTGAAATATCAAATCCACTTGAGCAAGAACTTCAGCGCATACCCTACATCTGGGACCTGGGGAGGGTGGAAAATTGAGTGGGCCTTCTCCCTTAATACCCCCCTTTAAACATGAAGGAAACAATATGGAAAAAATAATAGTCATACCCACTTTCCGATAGCCCTTGAACCTTTTTACCCTAATTAACTATGTAAAGATTGTCAAAATATAATAAAAAAAAAAGTAAAAAAAAAATAATACAAGCCCATTTCACTAGATACATGTAACACAAATCTGATTCAAAAAGAATTTTTGCATCTAAATTCTCATACTGCAAGATAAAGACTGGATAAAGGAATTACTTCTCTCCCCATTACCAGCTTTTGAAAATACTCTTTGTAATATTAGGTGTGATTCTAAACTGGTCAGATTGCCCAGAATATTACTGAAAGGTACAAAGACAGTGAATAAAACTTATTTTTGAAAAACCGTTCGTTTCTCATTGTTTCCCAAGCGTGTTTTCTATCATATGAGTTACATTTGTTACATTTGGACATCTTGTGGGTTGGCTTTAAAAAATGCGTCCATCATATCTCTGACATCTTCCCCAGCTCCTGGGTTGGGAGCACAGGTACCGCTGTTCGATTTTTCTGAGTTGAGACGCAGGTTCACCCCTTCTCCCCAGTCCCTGGCTGCCAAGGCAAAACGGAGCTAGTTGTGCTTCATTTGCTTTAGGGGGAAAAAACAGCTCCCAAGTCAGGCCCTCTGGGACTTCTTGCATAAACTTGCACGAGGGTCGCGGCTTAGGGCCCCTCGGGCGCCGCGTCTGCTCGCCTCTTACCTTCCAATCTTTACACCCAACATTCTTCCAATATTTACACCCAAACCAAGCAGAACTAGCTTTTCCCTCCTCCCTACTGTGCACCCCGGAGGAAGGGGAGACTGGGCCCTGGGCAAGTCCCCCCAAACAGGGATTACCCAATTCCAGAGTGGCGAGCGCCTGACCACCTGTGACGAGGCGAACGCGTCCGCGAGGGTGGATGTCGGATTTGAACCCGCGTGCCAGGGAGCGCGCCACCCCGCGCGCACTGGCAATGCTGGAGCTCTGCTTGTGCGTGGCTGGGGACAAGCCCTTCCGCTGAGCGCCGAGTTGTAGGCTTGCAGCAGGCCGGGGAGGCAAGCGCACAGCGGCTGAGGTCCCGGAGCGGCGCCAGGATCCGGCTTTCCCGCCGGCTGGCCCGGGGCGGGGCGGCAGCTCTATCCCCGCCCCCTGCCCCCAGCCCTGGACCCTTGTTTTCCCGCTTTGCCTCAGGAGAAAACATGGCCGGGAGGAGCGAGGAGGCTCCAGATCGCGGGCGCGGCGTCGTGGTAAATGCTGAGTCCTTACTCTTCGTGGGAGAGGGAGGAAAAGGAGGAGGAAGGGGACGGGGGCTGTGAATGTAGCAGCAGGTCCTCACCTTTGTTTTGTCACGCAGCCGAGGGGCCTCGGACCCAGCCCCCACCCAGGCTGTCACTGCTCGGCTCAGGGGGTGGGGGGCGGCTTGCGGGACCCAGTCCAACGTTCCTTGGTTGGAGGCGCCAACACGAGTCTTGGGCTCGGAGTTCCCCTGCGCACTTTGTCTCCATGCCCTGCTATTCCCTAGCTTGGCCCGCGCAGTCCCTGTCCCCATTCAAACGCTGGTGGGGAGGAAGGTCCTGGCACCTCGGGCAGGGAGGGAGAGAGAGGTAAACTGGAGTGGGAGCATTACTGGGGTGAGTGGCAAGTTTGAGTGCGGGAGGGGAAAGGGGACAGGTAGCATGTGTGTGTTGGCCATTGGCCCTGGGCCTTTAACTGGGTTCATCCAGTCCTCCCATCTCTGCAAGTGGGTCTCTTACGTCTCCCATTTTTTCGGAGGTGTAAACCAACCGAGGCTGACTCCTCATCCGGGCCACAGCACCGGTGCAAGGTAGAAACAGGATTTGCTTGCCCTCATGCTGCCAGAAAGCTGAGGTTCCAGGATGGAATTTTAGAGATGGAGATGGGACTTGGTTACTGATGAGGACATTTGACATGGCAGCTAAGATACCTACACTCCCATTTTGGAGTTTGTGGATTCAATTCTAGTCTCCAGCTCCTGATTTCCAGCTCCATACCCCTCCCCACCCCCCCGAAGCAGCAGGTAAGGGAGGCTGTTGGTTGAGTTCACTCCCATTCACGTGGTGGACCAGCTGGTTCCGGGTTTTACCTGCCATTAGAGGCCTTTGTGGGCATTCAGGGAAATGAGCAGGCTGATAGGAGCTTCTTGTTGTGTCTGTGTGTTTGAGGTAAGGCAGGTGCAGGAGTGATTGAAAGAATCCATCTAGGTTCTGGTATGGTACCGATAGGTATTATGATTCATCCAGAGATGGATGAAGAAGAATTTTCTGAGTTGGGAGTCTTGCAAAGGCAGGTGGCTGGGGAAGCTAAGCCAAAGAAGTGTATTTTGTGCAGAAGGGACTAGTGAGAAACTTGGGAGGACTTCTGCCTCCAGGTGACTCTCCCATGTATTGAGGAGATGGGACGTTAGTACTTATTAGCAACAATTGGTTTTAGACCTTTGCCCCACTGGGCTATGGGAGATGTGGTTCGGCCACAGAGAAGAGGGCCAGTCTTCCACTTGATCTGGGGCCATTGAGCTCACCGGTAATCTTGACTGGAACCTTTCTGTCATTTCTTTGGGGTGAGAAGTTAAGAACTCTGTCCACTTGGCTTTTTGGAAATGTCAGGTTGTTTGGGTATGGTTGGTTGGTCGGCTGGCTTGATGCCTACCGAAGCATTGTAGGAGAGCTTGCATGGTCTCCACATGAGCAAGCTTGATGGAAACAAGAAGCATCCACAAAGACGGTTGTGTTTCTGTTTGAGCTGACTCTCCCTCATCCCTGCTTCTATCCTCATCCTCCGGGACTAGGTGGCTGTGTGGCAGGTGATACGAGGTCCACCTAAAAACAGCTTTACCTGGCTGCCACAAGTGTTACCTGGCGGGTGTTGAACGCACTCCAGCAGAGGAAGACATGTGAGATAGAAGGTGATATTGGTCTATGGAGCCCCTCTTGTTCCTTTGGGGGTCTTCTCTCAGCAAACTGCTCGGACCCTGTTCTTAAAGTTGTGTTTCTGAGGCTGCTGCCCATGATGCTTTGAGGCTCTGGATGTAGGCTGTTGAGCTTCTCTTCTGGAGTTTGAAAGGAGACCCAAGGACTGAAGCTCCCTTTGCTGTAAGGGTAGATGCCAACTTGACCCACAGCAGCCCCTGCCTGCTGGAGCTCACGGGGGTATGGGTGCATAGATAAGCTGGCTGCTCCGTGTTTCCACTAGGAAAGATCCTGGGGGAAAAAAAAAACAACAACAGTGCAACAGCTATTCTCAGTGGGGAAAAATGGTTCAGAAAGGAGGCTGTCGGTATATCTTGAAATGTGAGACTGAGCTCTGGATTCTGATGTATAAAATGCATTGGTTGGATGTGTTTGTCACTTGCCCAGCTTGGCGATGCTTTGCTGCTTTGAACGGAGGAAGTATTGTGCGGAATAAACCTAGAACTGATTCTCCAGGAAACTGAAGCTATTTTAGGAGGTCTTGTTTTGATTTTTTTTTTTTTTTAAAAAGCAAGTGAATACCATAATTATCTACACTTGGTGGCCAGTTTTGTTGCCGCAGGTTCAGCTTTATTCACAACACACTTTGCCCACACTGGTAAGGATGATAACAACTTCAGCCAGGGCATCCTTCATCTTGCAATAATAACTACGCAGTTTTTACTGTTGTGGTTTTTTAAAAATGGGATTGGAAATAATGGCCAATTTGAATTACAGAATGGTCTCAAAGCACTACATTGCTTCCTGTTTAAAATGCATAGCTTTAATTAGGCTAATGAGACTGTTGGTCAGTTTGACACACTTCCTTAAGTGAATGAAAACATGTAATTTGTCTTTCAGTGATGTATGTTTTAATCTGCCCAAGTGTGAACATTCATTGCATAATTAATGTAGGCCAGACACTGATGTGCACCTGGTATCTTGTGTCCATTTGAGTCCATCTTCACCACAGCCATGTGACTGCTTTTTGTAGAGGAAGGCACTCATACTCGGAGAAGTTCATTGCCAAATTCTCCCAGATGGCAAACTTGGCTCAGGTGTGTTGCCCTTCTGAGTCTATTCTGTGGATATCGACCCAGGAACCTCTGACCTGTGTGTGTCTGTTGGAGCTTTCCTGTGCAGGCTGCCTTTATTTCTCATCTTCTTCCCCTCTCTTTACCCTGCAGGCACTCATTTTTTGGCAGTCTTGTCTTTTTTTTTTTTGAAGGGCACCATTTATTATTTACTGTGTACCCACATATTGGGTGCTCTATGTGTCTTGTTTTCTGTCTCTCAGTTCCTAGTCCACAGGCTTGCTTGGGTCTGATTCTTAGAGGAGAGCAGCATTAGAGCCCAGCTCTTGAATTGGGGACGGACTAGTCACTGAGATCCAGCCAGAGTAGGGGACAGTGGGGACTCATGTAATGGGAAGAACGGATTTGGACGATCACTGGTTAAGGGACCCTTGGGTGCAGACCCTTGGGAAGAGAGTCAAAGTGTGTGTGGTCTATAAGAGGAGCTAGGGAGTGCTAAGCACCTATGTAAGTTCCCTGTAGCCCAGTTGCTGGCCAGGGTTCTTGGACTTTCTCTGCTGTGACCTGCTGTTGGGACCTTTTACACACAGAATCTGTAAGGCTTGGACCAACCAGCCAAGCACTGTGATATTGGAGAATCTAGCAGGCTCCAGGAATTGTAAGGGCAAGAGGCAGAGCAGTCATGTGCCAACTCTCCCACCCACTCAGCTGAGGTGGTAATGTGTTCCTTCCCTAGAATGCAGGTGACCTTCCTTCCCCCTCTAGCCATCAGCCTGCATGCTGGAATGGGAGGAAGGTGTGTCCAGAGCCTTGCTCAGTGATATGCTTTATCATAAGGAGATAACTTGAGGCTTGAGGCCAGAGCTTGGGTATATTTAGATTGGTAGCTTGAGGGTGGGACCATGCCATTCATTCTTGGAAAGGTTTTGAGCACTTTAGAGTTCTAGGCATTGGGCCTTCCACAATGAATAAGATAAGTGTCTGCAAGAAGGCTTCAATGGGAAGAGATGAGGCAGGGCAAGCATGCATGTGCACACACACACACACGTGCACACACACACACACACACACACACAAAAGCAGTGGGAACACAGCTGTGAAGGAAAGTCTAGCTAGCTACAGGGATACAGAAATGAGTGTGGAAGGAAGAGAGAACTTTGTATTGCCAGGAAAGGTCTCTGTACAGGTGACAGATGACGTGGGATAAAGTCTGGAGAGAGGTGAGCAAGCTGTAGGGAATAGCCGAGGCAAGAGGGTTGTAGGGAAAAACAAACAAACAAATAAAAAAAAAACAGGTCCTCCTTGGATGAGCAAGGAGGTGGTGCAAGAGCAGGCTGAGGCAAGATAGAGATGGACCCCCGTGAAGGGCATGGTAAGGCCCCTAGAGTTCACCCAGAGGGGACAGGGAAGGTCTCAAAGTTGAAGGCCGTGTAAATACAATGCAATGTGTTGAAAGGAGTGCTCCAGCTGCCACATGGGAGGGCTGTGAGAATGGAAACCAGGAAACAAGTATACCAGTTCTTGTAGTTGTCCAGGGAGAAGGGGTGGTTTGGGACCTAGGGTGGGAGGGAAGGGGCTAAGAAGGTCTGGCTAAAAAAAAGAAAATGTTTCTAGGGGTCAGCGGATGGTTCAGTTGGCTAATCCTCTACCTGCAAGTGCCGACACCCCAGTATGGGTGCCAGTTCGTGTCTCAGCTGCCCTACTGCTTATCAAACTCCTGGCTTGTGGCATTAAACAACAGAGTCTGGCCCAATGTCCTGGGAACCTGCACACACGGGAGACCCAGAAACTCCCTTTTTCTGGTTCACTTCCCATTAACCAGGAACGAGGAACTCTAACCAGGTCTCCACCATGGGTGGCAGGCACCCAAAGACTGGAACCATGGCTGAAACTTCCTAGAATGCATTAGCAGGGAACTGGAAATGGCAGCAGAGCTGGGGACAGGGCCTAGGCATTTTCATGTGGGATGTGGTTGTGCCAACTGGCAGCTTAACCACCTAGTCTTGTGTCTACCCTTGACGATGAATTTTGTTTTAGTCTCTCTCTCTTTGTTAAAGATATATTTATTTGTTTGGAAGGTAGATTACATGTTCCACCCACTGATTTCGCTCCCCAAAAGACCACAAAAGCCAGGGCTGAGCCATTCGGGAGCGAAGAGTGCATGGTGCAGTTGTCCAAGCACTTGAACCATCTTTCGGTGCTTTCTCAGGCATTTTACCAAGGAGTTGGATTGTAAGTGGAGCAGCCAGGACATGAACCAGTGCCCATATGGTGTGCTGCTGCTGCTGCTTAGTATGCCACTGTGCTGGCCCTAATACTGCACTTTTACTTAGTAATCTTTCCTAAGCAGATGAGTCATTTACAGGGAGCAGAAATGTAACAGCATATATAATAAATGTATATTAATGTGTCTTATTCAGTTTTTTATGCTGGTATACTTGGGACAGTTTCGCAGTTTGTGTATAAAGCATACAATTACTGATAGAAACAGTCCTGCCGAGAGGAATATCAGTTTTTGAGTTTCTGTTCTGTCCACTGTCAGGTCTTAGGAGTGGAGTATTCTCATCCCTTCAGTCACAGATCCTTTATCAGATCGTTGTATGAGGTTGTTGCCAACAAGCCATCTGGCCCCAGGGACTGCTTTCCAGGGTGAGAGAATGTAATTTCCTGCTGCTGTGATGGGATTGCCAGACCTGTTCCCCCGTGTTCAGTTTTCTGTGTCCCAAACCATGTAGCCACTGTGTCATGTCTTTATGTCTCAAGGTGCATTTCCAACTCAAAACAGCATTATGTAATTCCTTTGTTTTTCGCACAGATCAAGGATGACTGGCCCGGCTATGACTTGAACCTGTTCACATACCCGCAGCACTATTACAGTGACCTGGAGTATGTGCTTATCCCACACGGCATCATCATGGACAGGTGAGTGTACGCACCTGCAGGGGTCCTGGTGCAAAAGGTGGGCCGGGCTGCCCCATTGTATTGTGGCAGAAAGATTTTATCGGAGAGCCCGGTTGGGCCTGTATGTGTTGGCCAGGTGGTTCACCTGGATGTCCGTCCAAGGGGAATGTAGGAAGAATATGTGGGCCTAGCCATTCCCCGGCACAGCCTGGAGATAAACAGAGATATTGATCGGGCCAGGAAAGCTTTGTGTTCAAGGCCCTCAGTCTCACACTTCCCACAGGCTCCTGAGCTGACGGGAGAAACCGAAGGCATCTTGACTTCCTAGAATGCCTCTGGATTTTCCTGCAACTTTGGATTCTTTTGCACCAAGTCGTGTCTCCCAGGTGGACTAGTTCTTGGTTTCCAATGACATTTTTTTTTCCATCGACATTTCTTAAACCGGTGCTAGTGATACAAAGTAGCAGCATTTGCCGCCTCAACCTATATGCTGAGAGCTAGCTCAAAAAACACGATTTCTTGTTTTCCTAGTGTGTCTATGTTCGTTCCCCCTGCCTTCTATCTTGCCCTTGGCCTGTTCCAAAACCAGGGTTTTCTGTCTCCTGGGCGGTGACCCTCAGTCACCTGCCAGTGTTGCTCCTCCTGTTTAGCCCCACATCGTGGTGACTTGCAGGTGTGATCACTAATGCCCCTGTGTCAATGCCAAGTGCCTGACTCCCTATCCACTGGCCTTGGGTTTCTGGCGCGAAAGTCAAACTTAGAGGCCTACACATATCTATGGGTAACAAGCTAAGGTTTTCTATGGTTTTCACAAGAGTCTCGGCACTGATTCTTCAGTGGACCAGAATCTGGAATAAGGATGGCAGTGGGCAGCAGTTTAAGTCAAGAGCAGACATCTCACTCCAACCCATGGCTTGCACTGCAGCCCCTCCGTTTTGTTTTTGTTTTTGTTTTTTCAGTCTGTTACAGTAAAACATTTTCAGGATGGAGTTCTAAAATATTTTTTTAATCTTTCTTTTTTTTTAATTAATTTATTTTAATCTTAGTTGATTGGGGTACAAAGGGTCAAGGGCTATAGGGTGAAAGTGGGTAATACCATTGTTTCCACGCTAATATTATCATTTTTCCCTGTATCTGGGGTTAGGGGAGTAACAAAGGGAAAAGCCCCACCCAACCTCCCACCCATCCCCATCCCAACAGGAGCTACGCTCCGAGGGTCCTGCTCAAACAGTTTTGATAGTTCATCAGTTCTGGATTGCTGCCAATCTCACAGTTCCGATCGCAATGAAACCTATTCAGAGTCCACTGGCTGACAGTCTCTTGATGGTCGGGGTTCTAAGATCAGCAGTTCAGTTGGAGGGATCTCTAAAGAAACTTCATCTGAGATGATCCCAGATCTGATTCTTGAGTTTGCTAGTACAGATTCCAACACCGTCCATCGCCCCAGTCAGCTTATGCACATGCTGGTCATTGCGATTGCTGGGTTGGTTCTGTTTCCAGCCCTGTCTTCCTCGTGAACCAATAGGTGTTGTAGTCCAGCTCAATCCTACCCACTTCATTGGAGTTCTAACTTTATGAAATAGATCCTCAAAGCCAAAGAAAAGTTCAGAAATGCTCAATGGTGGAGGAGGGAACTTAAAAGTTCATGGAAAAATGGAGTTAAGAAAGGCCCATGTATTTTAATTCAAAAGAAACTTGAAACCCTTGCACAGTTTGTTTTATTCGAAAGACAGAGGAGAGTCAAAGGCCCAAATGCCTGCCACAGCCAGGGCTTGGACAGATGCAAGCCAGGGTCGGGACTCTGGGTCTCTCATGTGGGTGGAAAGTGCCTGAGTCCTTGAGCTGCCAAGAGCTGCCACTCAGGGTACACATTGGCAGGAAACTGGCGTAGGGGTGGAGCTGGGACTCGAACCCATGTACACTCTACAGGATGCACATAGTGCAGATGTGTCTTAACCACTGCACCCAATGCCCACCTCGCATTACTTTTTTTTCTGAACTTTTTGAAGACTGCTTGTGTTGCCAACATTCCATCTGACCGTCAGGAAGCCTAGAGGAGTGTCATTCACCCAAATTCTGAGATTTTTCCACTGGACAAGTATGTCCAGACTCAATTTGTGGTATATTGCTAAACCTAGTTCCAATTTGGGCTTGTTTATGAGCTAAGATGGTTTCCATAGAATGCTAATGCAAATCTGATCCTACCAGGGTAGAAAAACTTCTTAATCAAAGAAATTTGGAAAATTTAACATTTCCCACATCACTGACTTTCCCAGTTGTCTAAACAAACACGAGGTATATTCAAGTTGCAGGTACTTTGAAAGACAAGATAGGAAAGCACCTGCCTGACTTGAGCAGTTAAACCAGTGTGTGTGTGTGTGTGTGTGTGTGTGTGTGTGTGTGTGTGTAAGGGGGCTTTGTATGCAGTTCACTTCCCCATCGCTTTCAAGGGTTCCCCTAACACAGGTTTGCGGAGCCCTCGTGTAAACAAATCCCTGCCTTTTTTGTTGTCATTGTTAAACCTGGATTTTCTGGCTTCATTTTTTTTGGTAAGCTTTATTATATTTTTATTGCAAAGTCAGGTATACAGAGAAGAAAGACAGGAAGATCTTCTGTCCAACAATTTGCTCCTCAAGTGACCACAATGGCTGGTGCTGAGCTGATCCAAAGCCAGGAGCCAGGAACTTCTTCCAGGTCTCCCACGCAGGTGCAGGATCCCAAGGTCTTGGCCATAAGCAAGGAGCCAGATGGGAAGTGGGGCCTCTGGCACACGAACTGGAGCCTGTATGCGATCCTGGCACGATCAAGGCGAGGACTCTAGTGGCTAGGCCACCGCACTGGACCCCTTCATTGGGTTTTATCTAGAATATCATTGAGTCTGATAAAGTGACCATAGCCCTTTTCCTGGACTGAAGTGAGCTTTCATAAAATGCATATTTGCCAGCTTTCTTGTGTAGAAATCCTGAACAGTGGTGTGGGGTATGGCTCAAGAATGCCTCCTCTTCTCACCCCTCAGATAAATGTGTTGAGATAGAATTTACATATTACAAAATCCACCCCTTGTGAACAAACACTGCAAGGGTTTTTTGTTAAATGTAATGGGGAAACCCTCTAGGCAGCACAGCCTCTCACAGTTGCTGCTCACCCTCAGGGTCTGGCAGCTGCGTTATCCATGGGTCCTTTGTGGATATGTCGTAGAAGTGAAGTCCTGTGCTATCTAATCATTGATTGACTTACTAGTGCACATTTGGGCTTCTAAACCTTGGCTATTGTGAATCAGGCTTCTACAAACATAGGCATGTAGGTCTCTACGGGGTCTGCTCATTCCTCCAGGATGATTGCTCAGAGAGGAATTCCAGGTTTTCTGGTAAGATTAAGGAAGTTTAGTTTCCAAAGTGGCTGCGCCATTTTCCACTCCCATCAGCAGTGCTGGAGGCGTGTGGCTTCTCTGTGTGCCTTGCCAACATTCTGTGTTGTCCGGTGAGAGCCCGCCTGGTGGGACCATGGTCGTGTCTCACATACTTCTTGATGTGCATATTTTGAGAAACAGTGCCTGACGACGTACCACTCTTTATCTATATGTGTGTATGCATCTGTATTGAGTATATGGTTATGCATATATGAACCATGCTATCACGTAGGTAGAGTAGATAGATCGATCACTCCCTTTATTCTCAACCTAACTCTGTGTTAAGTGCTAGTGTGGATTTTTCTAAAGATGTGTGCCAGGTCTTGCCTTCCTTTGAGCTGTTCACATCCACTGCTCTAAGGACACGAGGATTATGACGCAGAAGAATAGAGGGGCCATTCCACATGAGACCTCCATGCCTCACAGAGCACCAGGGGCCTCACTGCGCCTGTGTCCCGTGAAAAACCTGTCTCCTGCCCATGAATGGCTCCTAGCTTTTCCTCAGTCAAGTGAGGCGCCTGGCGTACTTTGACACCACCTGCCATGCCCAGGAAGGTCATAGGGTGGGGTAGGCTTATGAGACACCAACTTATCTCAGTGACGGTGGATGTTGGGCTCTGTAGGTGTGGGATAGCAGCTGGCTTGACTTTGACCTGTCACACCCAAATGATTCCTGTGACACAGGGGAACAAGGATATAGTGTAGCTTACTAGCTATCAGAAGTACATTCCAGACATTCTGTCCACGCCCAGCCTTGATCTTAGCCAAAAGGCCAAGAAGCGATTCACGCCCAGCCTTAACTGCACTTTTTAGGTAGGTTGATTTTATTTGAAAGGCGTGGCTACACAGAGCAAGATGGAGAAATCCTCCATCTGCTGGCTCACTCCTCACATGGCTGCCAGGGGAGCTAAGCTGTTCCAAAGCTAGGCGCCAGGAGCTCCCTCTGGCTCTCCTGCATGAGTGCAGCAACTCAAGCACATGGGCCTTGGCTTTCCCGTGGCTTCTCCAGGACATAAGCAGGGAGCAGGACTGGAAGTGGAGCAGCCGTGGCTTGGACCAGCACCCATACAGGATGTCACAGGCAGAGGCTTAACGTACCATGCCATGGTGCCAGCCTCTAACCATGCTTTTCACTCTAGGTTTCTGTTCCCCAGATACTTCTGCACCTTTCCCTAAGTAATCCAGGATATAGCATACACCATGCATTTTTATTAAAGGCACACAGTTGTTCAGGATATTATTGTGCACTTATGTGTCTTTCATCCTGGCTTCTTCCAGAATAGAGAGGCTGGCTAAGGACATCATGAAGGACATAGGCTACTGTGACCTCATGGTCCTGTGTGTGCTCAAAGGAGGCTACAAGTTTTGTGCTGACCTGGTAGATCAGTTGAAGAACATCAGCCGGAATTCAGATCGCTGTGTCTCTATGAAAGTTGACTTCATCCGCCTGAAAAGCTACCGGGTAAGTCAGGCCGTTTCCCATCTGTATTGTGTGTGTGTCTTTGGAACAGAGGTATCAGAACGATTCAAAAGCCTTACAAATGGAGAATGTGGTTTTAAAATTTGTAAATGCATGTGCAGAGTATTTTTATGTCCTTGGTTCATTTTTTGGACTGCTGCAGCTGGCTCAGAACTTAGGTAGTTACTGGTGACTGTTTTCACATGCCTGGCAAGACTGCCTTTCATGACGCCTGTGTTCTCTGCCGGTGGTGAATTTCCCGATGCCCAGCCTCACCAGAAGGTATGGGTAGCATCGAGTGAATCCAGGGAACCTAACTGCATGTGTCTTCCCAGGGGATCCCTGTTGGGCTTGGGGAGCTGTCCAGCCCAGAGACTCCATCCACAGGTGGCTGCTGCCGTTCCTCGCCTGGGGCAGAGGGGGGAAGGCAAAGCCTCAGAGACACAGCACATTGTCCAGTGTGGGAGTGATGGGGCCCGGCCTTCCCCAGTCTTTCATGAGCTTTGGATACACACTCCCCCCTCCACACCACCGGACAGCATCCTTTTCTCCCTGGGTTCTTGCTATTTGAGTCAGTGTATCCTCAATCCTGAAAATGAACTTGATCACTGAGTGAGGAGCTCTTAGGAATGCAAATCTTAGAATGCTCTCAGGGATCAGAGGTTTCACCTGGTGACTGACTCCCCACATTCCATGTCGCAGTTACTGGGTTCAATGCCTGGCTTGAGCTCCTGACTCCAACTTCCTCAAGGGCAGCAGGTGAAGATTGAAGTGTCTGGGTCCCTGTCATCCACCAGGAGACTCAAGAATTGAGTTTCCAGCTCTTGGCTTCAGCCTGGCCCAGCTCCAGCTGTTGTTCTTATTTGAGGAGTAAATCAGCAGATGAGAGATAGGTCTCTCTATCTGTCCGGTACTCTTTGTCAAATAAAGTATTAAGATATTCTCATTGACTGAATTAGGTTGGCACGTTTTAATTTGTTAATCATTCTTTGCGTTTGGCTGTGTACTGCTTCACTCCAAAATTCATCACAAACTTAGTGGCTTAAGTCAACATGTGTTTATTATTTTACAGGTTTGTTTGTTTGTTTTTTGTTTTCAAGACTTCTCTTACTTGAAAGGTAGAGTTACAAAGAGAGGGAGATCTTCCAATCTCTGGTTCATTCCCCGAATGACCAGGGTTGGGTCAGTCCAAAGTCGGGAGCCATGAACTTCATCTGGATCTTCTGCGTGAGTGCAGGGACCCAAAAGTTTGGCCCAGCCATATTCTGCTGCTTTCTAAGGTGCACCAGCAGGGAGGTGGAGCTGAAGCAGAGACTGGTGCTCATATGGGATGCTGGCAGAGCAGGCAGCAGTTTAACTTACTCACCACAGTACCGGTTCTATCACACTCTTCTGTGACTCTTTCACTGCCCTCCCTTCTAGGAAAGCTGGAAAATTAGTTCATTCTTTACTGTTTGAAAGCCATAGAGGTCTTCCATCTACTGATTGCCTCTGCAAAATGTACAGCAGACAGGGCTATGCCCGGCTGAAGTCCGGAGCTCAGATCTCAGTCTTCCGTGTGAGTGGCAGGGACCCAAGGACTTGAGCCGTCACCATTGCCTCCCAGAATGCACGTGCTCTGGAAGCTGTTGTTGGAAGCAGAGCCAGGACTTGAACACAAGCTTGCAGATGTGGAACACAGGGGTCTTAACCAGGGCTCCAGATGGCTATCCCTGGTTCTTATTTCTTAAAGTACTCTCTTTACAGACACTTTGGCCATAATTCATTGGTCTTACCTTATATGAGAACTTCTTTTGGGTTTCCTTTATCACAAACAAGGTTTTTGTCACTTGACCCTCATCCTTGCTTTATTCATCTCTGGTTAATAGCTTTAAAAAAAATCCTTCTATAAACTCTTGTAAGTTCAAGTCAAAGTTCTTGAAGTTCCAGTACAATGTAGCTACAGGTACATTCAGCCCATTTTATTGTTTGAGAGTTGGTAAGTGCATGTGGTTGGTTAAGTTGCTATAATTGAGCCAGCCACATTGATAGGTTCATAAACAAGTCATCATTTGTCACAGTCACAGCTTCCATAAACCTTGACGTCATGCCTTGAAGATTCTCCCATATTGTGTTGGTCGTCCAATGCTTTTTATTGTCAGGTGGGATTCTCTGATGTGGCTATAGTGTAGTTGTGTAACCCATTCAGTGACTGAAGGGTATCTGGGCTGGTTCCATATGGGGATGATCATGGGTCCAGCGATTGTAAATATTGCCATGTAACTTCCCATGTGTGCTTACCTCTTCCTTTCACCTTAGTAAATGTCTGAGACCTAGACTGGTGTGTTCTATGGGAAGGATAGAGAAACAATAGCTAAATGGCTCTCCCCAGTGACTGAACAGTTTTGCGTGGGCACCGGTGTTGGAGTCACTTGTTATTTTCTGCTTTTTGCTTTACCTTTTGGAGTAGGTGCTAAGGTCTTGTAATTTTAGCTTGTAATCCCCACTGAATGATGGAGTTGAATATACTTGCACTTGTTTCTTTGTGTGTGTTCAAATGTGTCACCTGTTTTCAAAATTGCTGTTTTATTATTGAGTTTTGAGAATTCTTCTTGTATTTTGTTTGGTACATTTTCAGGATAGATTTTCCAATCAGTGGAATTTTTTTTCATTTATCTTGTCTTTACTTTTGTATTTATACAAAGGGAACAAATTTCACATACTTCATATGTATAGTTTGAAGGGAATTGTGGAGTTTTCCACCTTATAACCCTTCCCTTCTTCCACTCTTTCTCCTCCTTCTTTAACTTTTAATTTTTGCAATGACATACTTTCAACTTACTGTTTATAATCACATGTGCAAGCCTCCACCAACTAAAGAAGTTAACGAGGAGTAAGGAGAAGAACCACTTCCTCAAGAGTAAGGCTGTAAACAATCCTCAAATCTCAAAATATCGATCTCACTCATGCACATGAGAAAATGGATGCAACTGGAGACCATTATATCTAGTGAAATAAGTCAGTCCCCAAAAGAGAAATATCTCGTGTTTTCCCTGATTAATGGTAACTACTATATAGAAATTTTTTTTTCATTTTCATACAGAATGATTTTTAAAATTTTTTCATCAGATTTCAATTCCCTGTTATTTGTGGGTTTAACATATATACCCATATAACAATGGATTTAATGGATTTTTGTGTATTGAATGCTTTGACTTTTTGAAATTTGCCCTTCTAGTAGCTTTCTCAAAGTTCTTCTCCCCCCCAACCCCCATTTGGAAAGTAAAATTACAGAGAAAGAGAAGGAGACACAGAGAGGTTTTGCATCCGCTAGCTTACCCCACAACTGGCCACAATGGTCAGAGCTGAGCTGGTCCAGAAATGGGAGGAAAGAGCTTCTTCCAGGTCTCCCACATGGGTGCAGAGTCCAGGGAAATGGGCCATCCTCTGCTATTTTCTCAAATACATTTGTAGGGACCTGGATTGGAAGTGGAGCAGCCAGAACTTGAACTAACACCCATATGGGTTACTGGCAGCACAGGCAGAAGACTGGCTTATACCTTGGTGCCAGCCCCTCTTTTGGAAGATAATTATTTTTTTTCTGGATAGGTATGTTTTTACTTTTCCTTGATGAATGTCCACCTGTGAATTCCCTTATTGCCCTATCCATGGCCTACTGTACAATACTGAATAGGAATTTTGGAAGAAAATATTCTTTCTTTGTTCTCCAATCATGGGATTTAATAGTGGTCTTTTGGGAGATATTCTTTATTGGGCCAAGAAAGTTCATTGTATTCCTAGTTTTATAAGAGTCTGTTTCTTTTTTTCTTTTGCTTAAAAAATCATGACTATTGTGAAGTGCTTTGTCTAGACTGATACACCTGGTAAATCGCAGTGATTGGTTTTTCTGGCTGTACAATCGTCTTTCCTCTTGGCCGTGACATCTGATCCTTTTTCATATGTTGCTGGGGATTCAGTTTGCTCTTTTTTTTTTTTTTTTTTTTTTTGAGAATTCTTGCATTTATGTTCAAGAAGGCTACCAAACCATCACCTTCTGTTCTGGTACTGTTGTTTTCTGATTCTGGTGTCAGGATTGCTTTGGCTTCACAGGACAGGTTGGGGAATATTACCTCCTCGTCTCTTTCCCTGGAGAGCTTGTCAAGAACAGATACTTGCATTTCCCAACTGCAGGAACAATGGCATGGTTATCGCTGCCTCTGCACAGATGTTTTCAGGACAACACATTGTTCTTAGGGACAGGAATGTGGCCTGACTTCTTACTCCTTGTTTTTTCTTCTTATTATTTTTTTTTGTATGAAAGCTTTTATTATATCCAAAAAGGTAAATTTATAATATATTACACATGAAAAAACTGACAAAACCCAACTTTGTAGGACAGCTTCTTCGAATTCAAACATAAAATTATACTGAATTCCTTTAGTCCATTAATCCAGTGTAAGCTCTTGTCTTTGTGAAAGGCAGAGAGAAAGACACAGAGCTTCCATCAGTTTGTTCACTCCCCAGATGCCTGCAGTAGTCAGAACTAGGTTGAGTTAAAAGCCAGAAGCCGCAGATTCAATCCAAGCTGCCTGCATGCTGGGTACCTGGGATCCAAGTACCTGAGCCGTTGCCTGCTGCCTCCCAGGTCATGTTTTAGCAGGAAGCTGGAATTGGGAGCTGAACCAGGGCTCAGTTCTAGGCACTCGGGATGTCTTCCTCTGATTCTGATCAACGCAGAAGGTTATGATCAGGACTAAGTCTTCACTGTCTTCACCCAGTCTCACACATTCCAGCTTAGCTTTGTTTGTTTGTCTATTTGTTTTAGATTATTTATTTTTGTTTGAAAGGTTGGATTACGGAAAGAAGGAGAGACAAAGATTATCCATCCCCTAGTTCACTTTTCCGATGCCCGCCACAGCCAGAACTGAGCCTATCCGAGTCAAGAGCCAGGAGCTTCCTCTGGGTCTGCCATGTGGGTGTAAGGGCCAGAGAACTTGGACACATCCTCCACTGTCTTCCCAGGC